TCAATATAGAACGATGGTATAAAAGAATCAGATGGGGAAACAGGGAGCAGAACATTAAAACGGATTAGGGCTGATATACCTGAACCTGTCCCTAGAAGTAGGATGGAAACACCGAAAAGAAGACACATATCCACGATCAAAAAGAAAAATAAGAAGAAATCTGGGACAGCAGTATACTAGTGACAAAACCAAAAAGACTGTTGCAGCTCGGGAGTTACGACCTCCTTGTGAGTGTAAAAAAAGATGTAGAGAGAAACTAGGTGGTAATGAAAACCGTATTTTCAATGAATTTTGAAATTTGGAATCATGGGAATTGCAGAATGGGTATCTCTTTGGATGCATTGCTATAGTAAAGAAATAGAGATCTTACAAAACAAGGCAAAAACGACAAGAATCAAGTAAAACTTCCAATGCGATTTATTCTGTCAATGCTAATGGCCAAACAGTAAACGTGTGTAAAACCGAGTTTCTGAATGTTCACGGTCTGCAAAAATCAAAGGGTAGACTGAACAACATCGTTTCAAAGAAAATAAGAGGAACTCCTGTACCAGAAAAAGATAAACGTGGCCGACATTCGAACAGACCTAATCAAATTAGTGACCAGCAAAAGCAGTGTTAGACAGCATATAGATTTAATACCTAAATACCAAAGTCACTATAGCAGGGTTGAAAATCTAGGGAAAGTATACCTTAACTGTGATATGACCTTATCGCGTCTTTATTCTCAGTATTATGTTCCGTGGTGTCAACAACAACATATCAAACCTGTTCTGGAGCACACATATAGGCAGATATTTTGTACAGAATACAATTAAATTACCCAAATCCGACACTTGCAAAACTTGTGATCAACTTAACATCAGAATAGACTCTGCAACAAAATTAAATAAAAATCAGGAATTGTCTCGGTTAAACATTGACCTGACGACACATAAAACTAAAGCAAAAGCAATGCAGGATTTGTTAAATAACACGACTCAAGAATCAAATACACCAATAGAACGTTGGTAATTTCATTTGACTTATAACAGGCATTACCAATCCCGAAATTAACAACGGGTCCAGCGTTTTATTGTAGAAAAATCTGGTTATACAACTTAGGCATTCATGATTGTACAAATGGCAAAGGGCACATGTTTCTCTGGACGGAAGATATAGCAAAAAGAGGAAGTGATGAAGTCGCTTCAATCCTCCTAAAATTTCTTATGACGAAGACCGAAATTGACCACCTAATTATATTTACAGATAATTGCCCAGGGCAAAATAAAAATTGGCTAATGATGAGTTTATGGTTACAACTGGTAAAGGAGAATAAATTTTAAACAATAACGCACCATTTTCTCGTAAGTGTTCATACTCATCTTCCTTCTGATAGGGACTTCGCACTTATAGAAAAGCGACACCGAAGGTATGCACCACAAGTTTTTTGTCCAAATGAATGGTACGATATTATACGGCGATCAAACAAAAAAACACCTTTTGCAGTCACAGTTATGACGCAGGAAGATTTTTTAAACTTTACACCTACTCTTACAAAGTTTATTTGACATTTATAAAAATATTTTGAAATGATTGTTGACAATTTTGAATTGTCAGTTTCAACAACATGTTTACTCATCTGGAATAAGTGTTTTGAAATGTAAAAACATAACAATTAATGTTTATAATAAATAGTATTGTTTCTCTGTAAGTAGATAGCACTTTTTCTTTTGTATTGTTGCTCGTTTCAATAAATTAAGTCTGTTCTGATTAGGCTAAAAATGCGTTACGTAATGAAACCAGTGCGGTAATGAACTTCATTACGTAACTCAAATCACCTCAAATGAGTGCGGTAATGATGACTTATCCAAGCAGTCGTAGA